TTCCTAAATTCTTCGACTTTTTTGACAAAATTATGATTATTTAAAAAAAAATTAATCTATTACTGTAAAAATATACAATTCTGATGGTGTTAAGGTTGGGAATTAAGAAATCTTCAAATATAATAAAGTTTAAACCATATTTTTTTGATATTTCTTCTTATACTCGCTTACAATCTGAATCACATATTGTTTTTCATCTTTACTTCTAGATAAAATAGTAATGGACTCTTCTGATAATTTAACAGCTCTTTCTGCAGTATCATTAACTACTCTCATGTATCATGAAAATTCCTTTTTTTTTCAACTAATAGATTAAATTTTTCAAAAATAAGCATAATTTTGTCAAAAAAGTTGAAAAATTTAGAAATTTACCGAGTGGTTTATTTTAACCGTGAATAACTTTTGAAGCAGTAGGTTTATCGAAAATTGCAAGAGACATTTTTTGTAGAGCGTTCAATTCTGTATAAGAACGTGTAATTGTCATGGCTGCGAGAGAACAAGATCGAGAGAAAAAAAATATTTGCAAAAAGTGGCAAATTTCCATGTAATTTAAATGGGAAATTAATCGTCTTTGGGGCAAGGTTTAATGTGAATATTAAGTATTTACAATGGTCTGTTATTTTTTTAGACAATAAGGGAATAATAGGGAGGCTACACCAAAAAATGGTTGAATAAGCTGAAAATGATCATGATGATAGTTAATTCATAATAAATATGAAACGATATGACTTCATTGTCAGCGTTGTGAAACTTGGTCCATTTTTAATCGATCGAGAGAAGAAATAAACGACATTTAAAGAAAATCATCCTTTTATATTTAAAAACAATTATCAGCAACAGAAGTAAATCCTTATCAGTTTTAAGATAAGCTGCAAGTCACTTGAGAAACACGAACTGACATTAGTCAGGCGGACAAAAGAATTAAAGTTTTTGTTAGGATCGCTTTGTGATCCGAATAGGTCAAACCGTACGCGCCAGAGGTTATCACAGAGCTGATGAGAATAATATGATCGATTTATGGGTTTACAGGATGTATCAAACACTATAGGAAAGGCAATAAAAGTTTTGAGAAAAAGTGTCAAATAAAATTCGTATTTTTTTTTCACCGCTTCTTAATCTTTTATTTTACTTCTTCTTAAGTATTCTTAATCTTCTTTATTACTTTGTCTATGATTATTAGACAAACAAATTTTATTTGAATTAAGCTATCAGCAAGTTTTTAGGTGTAACTAATAGTTTTTTTGTGTACCTAGTGCAAAAAGGACATATTTGTTTGCAATCTAAGATTTGTCAGCTTTCATGGAACACAGGGCACAGAAAATATTTTAATAAAGCCAAAATTATAATGAAAGAAGCGATAGCCTCTAAAAGAAAAACAAAAGAGGCTTTTTTAATACAATCTAATAAAAATAAATGTATTGCTCATGCATCTGTAGATGTTAGTAATGTATGGCAATCGCGTCAACGGTTTTTGTACACGTATCTGTTTTAAAAAACTAAAGTTAATTGTAATCAAACAATTGTCAAAGTAAATTGTCAAAGTAAATTTGTATATCTGTAAACCTAACTTCTGACAAGTAGTTTCCGTTTGGATTAATGCAGAAGTGTTTACAAAAAATAACTATTTTATTTTGTAGATTTTCTTGCAGTGGCGAAATACCTATATAGGGTTTTTTGGAGAGATGAATCCGCCACATTTTCGACACAATTCGAGTTTTGCAGCTCGAGACGAAGTCGAGAAAAAAGATCAATGTTGAAAAATCAGTGTTGGGGCTATCTCTGAGAGACAAAGTACCGAATATCAAAATTCCGGGGGAGACAGAACAAAAGTCATGGATGCCATAGGAGACATGGACATACCACATTGCAAGGCTAAACGATGACCGATGGACGAAGAAAATGATAGAGTGGAGACCAAGACTCGATGTTTTCAGGAGCAGAGGCCGTCCTCCAACCAGATGGCATGACGACTTAAGGCCTATCCACAGTAACTGGATGCAAATAGGTCAAGATAGGGAGATATCGAAGCAAACGAGGGAGGTCTACGTCCAGCAGTGGACTTTAGTGGCTGGTTGATGATGATGATAGAAAAAATTGCTTTTTGCATGTAAAAATAGCTTTTATTAAAGAAGTAATTACTGTTTTTAAGTTTACTTTCACTGAAGAGTAACCATATTCGAAATTATTTTGTATTATTTTGAAATTTGTGTCTAGTGTTGTTACTTTACTGAAAAATTCAAGAAATTATGCAATATGTTATGATTGTACAGGGTACGTCAAAGAAATGAGCACACAAGGACTACGATTTTTTTTTGTAAAAATGCCAGTTTATTTCCTAAAAATATTATCTGTCAAATATCGATCATTTTGATTCTAGCAAGAAGCAATCCCTATGCGGCAGTTTTGATGGACTGCTGTAATTGTGTCTCGACTGTCTTTTTATTAGTATGAAAAGTTCGTAATGCTTTGCCTCATAGTCATAAATTTGAACCTTACGGCACCTCTGCCAAATAAATAGAACAGCTAAGATCAGGTGATCAGGATTTGGCAAAACGCAAACTTCAGATTTTCCTAACGCACTTCAAAAACTTTAAAACGCGGATTGCTTCGGATTGCAAAACCAAATTTAGTTAAATTAAAATTAAAGGTTAGAATGATATACAGGGTGGTCCGATTGTATTCCGGAAACTTCGGCAGCATATTCTGCAGATAAAAATAAGTTAAAAAGTTCGTATAAATGTATGTCATAAAATGGCTTAGTTTCGGAGATACAGGGTGTAGAAGTTTCATTTTTATTTCGATTTTTTAAGTAACACTAATATTTTGATGAAAATTGGTGTCTAGGTGTTTTTTGACATGAGAAATGTGATTTTGATGTCAATATGACTCTTACTAGTAGAGGGCGCCACCTACATATTTTTTAACTGGTTTGAAGGGTAATCACTTTTTGTCCGTACCTGTATAAAACTACCGAGTAAAAAAATATACATTTACGACGTTTTGTACGTGAAAAAGGTCTCTTGGTAAAAATCGTTACGAGTAATGGTTTTCGAGATATTCGGAATCAAAATTATCAATACCTGTCATCATTGACATAAATTAAACATGTTGACCAAATAATTATTAGACTGAAATCATAAATTTGAAATGTTTTTGTGCCAAAAGTTTAACAGAAACGGTTTTATCATCATTTTTTGCAGAAAAATTTATGATTAATTTAAAAAAAAATAAAAATTTCCCAAATTTATTATTTCAGTGAAATAACTATCTACTCAACGTGTTTATTTTTCGTCAATAATGATATGTATTGACTATTTTTATTCCAAATATCTTAAGAACGGTTGCTCGTAGCGATTTTTAGAAAGAAATATTTTTTACGTAAAAAGTGTTGGAAATGGACTACGGACAAAAAGTTATTACGCTTCAAAGCAGTTAACACACATGTAGGTGGCGCCCTCTACTAGTAGGAGTGATATTGACATCAAAATCAAATTTTTCATGTCAAAAAACATCCAGATTCCAATTTTCATCAAAATATTGACGTTACTTCCGAAATTATTTAGAAAAAATCGAAATAAAAATGAAATTTCTACACCCTGTATCTCTGAAACTAAGCATTTTAGGACATATATTTATACGAACTTTTTTACTTATTTTTATGTGCAGAATGTGCTGCTGAAGTTTCCGGAATACAGTTCGGACCACCCTGTATATCTGGCAGAACCGGAACCTGGATGTAGGTCCATGAACATGTTATGTAACTCCGGACGTCTTTTAAAATACCGAATCTACTGATCTTTAATTGTATTATTATTTCATAAATTTTACCAAACAAAGAAAAGACAAAGACAATATACTATTTATCTCTAAAAAGCCCAAATATTTCGATGATTTTTGTAGACTCATCAATTTTGACCTCACGGTTCATTCAGCACACGTCCTCTCGTGTTTTAGATAACATTGCATCATCCAAACCTTACATTATACTAGCTAGAATTCGTCTTTGTTCATCACGCGTATCGTTCGATCCTCTCACACATCGAACTAATGACTAGCATCGACCAAAGTGATAACCTCGGATTCCTAAAATCGATTTCACTCAGTTCGAAACATATGCTTCCATTTTTTAGCAATTACACTATCGCTATCACTGTTTTCTTTGAATGAAACACTTAACCGACATAACAGTCATTAATTTTTCGATTTTTAATTTGTCTATTGGGTTTCATTAGCGTTTAATTGGTTTTGTTAGTAATTGGACTGGTATAATTATAAAAGTTGTTGGTTTCAAAATAATTTTGTAATGTTTTAAGAAATAAAAATAGTTTGTTCAAAATCTTGTTCAAAGTACATTAATTAGTAAATGTTGCTGATAATAATTAAATACAGTATTTTAAGAAAAAGATAAACAGAATTAAGAATTTTTAAAAACTTTATACTCTGAAAAAAAGGTTGGTAGACACCTCTTCAAGTATGAGCTCTTAATTTTAATGGGAAGGTCCTCCACCTTTCAGTTTTCTACTTTTTTCCCTATTATTAGAAAGAAAAAATCATATCCCGGTATATATTATTTGGAAAAAATATCTCGTCCCATACGTTTATAGGATATTGAATTTTCTACAAAAAAGGTCTCTTGCAATTTTTTTGTAAACCTCACCGTTCAAAAGTTAATAAAGGGTGAAATTTGATTATTATTTTAAGGCAGATTTATTTTTTCTTATGAATTTTATAACTCGGTAACAAAAAAGTCATTATATACGTGCAACTCATTGGTTTCATATGAATAGTCGATTAAATTAACCGGTTAAAAGATATTCATCGCCAAACTTCAATACACAATAATTTAACAGTTTTTGATTAATAAATTCGAACAATTCCAATTAATTTTACGAGCTTCGGGAAAATTTGTACAAATTTGTGTTTCTATGAACAAAGAAATGTTTTATGGTTATGGATTTTTACGGAATAATAACCTTAACAAAATATTTTTTGTTTCTTACGTCATTTTTTGACAGCTTGGTTCTGCATTCTGCTATTGTACTCACCTGAAATAAAAGAGAAAAAATATATCAGTAAAGAAAAATTAATTATAAAAGAAGGAAAGCATGTTTATACTCCAGTGTGGTGTTCAAGCATTTCCAATTGAACTATATGTATATTACAATTAAATAAAAACGTGTCTTTTATAAAATTACTCTCAAATGAATCAAGACTTTTTTGAAATTTAATAACGATTTTTCTTATTAAAAAATGAAACTCCGAAAAAAATGAAATAACTCTTATAATTTCTAACAGTCCCGGTGGGCTCCCGATCTATCCCCATGGATTCCCGAAATATTTCCGAACAATAAAAACCCCACGCTTAGACAGGAACGCGCCTAAATTTCCCGCAGCAGTGGCGCGGAATGCGGAGGGTAGCGAAAAGATAAAAATTTATAGGGTTCAGAGCGGTAAATCAAATAGTTTACATTTTTGGGGTTGTATAGTTGTTTATGTAAAAATACACTTTATTTGTGTTTTATGCCTTAGTTATTTTCAAATTCCGAGTGTCCTAGATAATATAAATAAACGTTACAGGTAATATTTTAAATAAATAAAAGAATAAAAATAAATAATGGCAGTTTACAAATTAAATTAAAAATATTCGTAGTTATATTTAAAATAGGAAATTAAAAGCTACTTCCGATGGAAACCTCCAGGTTCTTGAGTTCAGTTTTAGGTTCGTTTCCACTTGGAAAGCAGAACGGCAACCAACGGCAGAATTACCAACTTCGAATTGATGGTTACTGAGTTTATTACTTTTAATGTTGCTTGACTATCAGATAACATGGCTACTTCTTGTTTCCGATAGTTACTATCGAAGATTCCGATAGTTCATATCTAAGATATTCTTTTGTCATAACTGGGTTGTACATGATTTACATTTTCCTGTTTCTTGAGAACAGAATAGAGAAGACACTATACACTCATCACTATACACTCATCATAAAGAGAACACTATACACTCATCAACGGGTGTACCGAGACGACGTTTTTAAGGAACCAACCTCTGTAAAACTGTCTCAGATACTGGCTTTTTTCAAAATCCTGAGACTGTATCAACTACTACCGGTTAAATAAAAAGTTCTGAAAATTAAATAATATTTTCTCAACAATAACACCTCAAATTTGTGTTTCGGCAATTTGATCCTAACATACTTTTAATGAATGGGAGGTGTATAGACCCCTTTAACTATGTCTTAACAGTCACGTTAATATTACAGTGTAAAATTTCATGAATATGTTAGAATATATAATAGAAACGGTTTTATAATAAAATAACGGTTATTCTCGAACAATAGAAATGTAAAACTACTAGTTTGTCTAACGCCGTTTATGCCTTTCATCCCTTCGAGCCAGACATAACGGTTCCAACCCATGGTCTAGTCTAGACTAGTAGTGATGTAGAAAGGTAAAAAAAAACGATAGATAAAAATCTCGATCTTGTGAGACTGTTTTTTTTTCTTCTATATAATCGTTGATTTTCTTTTATTTTAACTTTCTAACAGATAATTTAGTTTAACTTGTCATACCTTCATAAAAAAAGCCGTTATGTGTGGCAAATAAGAAATTACCTCGTTGATCTAGCGAGACTGATTTATTTTTACGATGTTATTCTTTATTTTACTTCGCTAGTAACCAAATAAATTAGCTTAAATTGCTGGCCAAATAAAACTTTTAAATAAAATAATATATTATATATATTTACATACTCTATTTTAAAGCTTATGTCAATAGATTACTAGACCACTAATAGCTATTTTTTATGCCGAAAAGATTAATTAATTTCGTAAATATAACAAACTATTTTATTAATAATAACACTTACCAAATTTTATACCTCACATGTTGATTAATTAACTTTAATCTTAATTTTTTTAAACCAGTACCTTTTGACATTATTTTATTACGAGTAGAAAAAATATTGTGCTGGGTAGGCTTTGGTTTCTATGTAATTTGACAAATAAATAAAGCTAAAGTCTGTCCAACGAGAAGATCCTTGACAGTGATAGATATGTCTGTCATTTTGATTTCAAAGTAGTTTATTTTATTTTACAAAGAAATAAGTTGGTACAACTGGAGCGCATAGCAGGAAATTAATTTATGTATTTAAAATTTGACTGACTAGTAACTTCAAAATATTGTGAATAAAACTGTATAAAACTGAAAAAATGTAATCGAGTTATTTTATTTAATAAAAAACGGTATGTGTTAATACAAAACAAACAAGAACAAGACACCACATACCAAAAAAAAAATATAAAAAAAGAACTATTTCTTTCTTTCTAAGCTTTATGAAACTTCCCGCATTTATGATTTTATTTATCTATATAACTTATGTACAAATACAAATTTGTAATATTCCGCAGTAATAAATAAAACAACATAAATAAAACAAATTATTTTATTAATAATAACACTTACCAAATTTTATAGCTCACATGTTGATTAATTAACTTTAATCTTAATTTTTTTAAACCAGTACCTTTTGACATTATTTTTCTGCAGTACTAAAATCCATTATTTACCTATCGTGTGATGTCGATATTTTACAGCTACTCCAGTTTTTAGTATGTGTTTAGTATACCATATTCGAAATGCACTTATCTACGACGAGATGGTATACGAACTTTATTGATGGTAACTTTTTTGGTGTATCTGTATAAGACTTCCTGCCTGGGGCGTTATTCTGTACAATCGTCGGAATTGGTGAGTTACCAATAGCTATCGGTACGTATTTGCATATAGTAAATATGTATTAATTGTTGTTGTCATAATTACCGATCGGCCCTATCACAGATATCGCAAATTTGTACCGGCGAAAATCGGTATCTCTACCGTGCCCTTGTCAACCTCACGGTAGAGATACCGAGAGTCGTTGGTACAAATTTGCGATATCTGTCATAGGGCCGATAGGTAACTATGACAACAACAATTAACACATATTTACTATATGCAAATACGTACCGATAGCTATCGGTAACTCACCGATTCCGACGATTGTACAGAATAGCGCCCCTGGGCAGCGAGTATTAACCATAAACTGCTCTGTGCTCTGGGTTCTACAGTTAATTTTCACTCGATTTTTCCTCCACTTGACTTCAAAAGACACAAAACACACGTAATAACACGGATCAAAATGCATCATCTTCCAAAACGCAGGGTATTTGACAAAAGTTGTCACAAAATTATAACCTATAATTTGGCAAGACTTTGACAAGCGTCAAAAATCTAAAGGCGAATTCATATGCATCGGCGTCCGTTTGTCGTTCATCGTTCCGTCAAACCAATAAAATTGAAATACGATCTGTCATTTTTGAAATAAACCAATAAAACTGGTTAAAAACAACAAGAGACGACGTATGACGGATTTATATTTAAACCCATCCATAGTTAACTTAAAAATTATTAGAAACTTTTTTAGTAAAATAAATAGATTGGTATGGGACGTCATCTGCTTTTTTTTCTGTCACCGTCTGTCGAAATCTTACCGGAGAAAAAAAAACAGAGTATATCTCTTTAGTTGTCAGTGTTGAGTCAATATTTTTTAAAATTGAATTGGAGCCAGAAAGGGCTCAAAACGAAATAAGTAAATTACCAACAGATATTCAGGCTGAGGCGACAAACGCCATATCCAAACTACTTCCATTTAAATCCCGAATAACTTATGAAAAGGAATACAAAAATTTTCAAAAATAGAAGCAATTAAAAAACGTACGAGAAGAAATAAAATTTTTAACCTATCCTCGCTGTTAAAGTATCATTTAATCTACCCTTGCGGTTAAAGTACTATTTTATCTACTATTTTTGATAGATATAAGGCAATTTTAACAGTTGCTATGGAAAAAAGTAAATTATATACAACTCTACAATTCGTATTGCAACAAGTTGTATGATGTGTGGGTGGTTTTGTGGGTCTAGTATCGATTTTTTCTCCGCCCATCCCTAGTCTAGACCTAGAAAAAGCGTCTCAAGGACGCGGACGTCGTCTGTACCCTTTTTAAAGTACACATTGGGCTGCTACTCGCGTCAGAAAAGAAACGAAGACGACCAAAAAAACTATTCGGTATTGTAATTTAATGCACCTTTTACTACGGCATTTACAACCATCTCCATCCAATGGCGTGCAGAAAAAAATTGGCTCTAGGATATTTAGAAATATGTTTTTTTTTCTTTACATATTTTTTAGAATTTCGGGGCTCTTAATACCCTTGTTCTAAAGCATCTACTAATGTTCATCTCATTTGTTTAAAAAATGATAAAGATTCTTCTTTTTTTATACAAAAAATCTTACTGTAGATTAACTTAATGAATTAATATAAGACAGGTTAAAAAGAAATCAACAGCAATTTTTTTTATATTATAAGACTATATTGCTAGTAAGGAAAAGAAATTGAAACCAAATTTTTGAGATGGAGCTATACAAAATCCACATAAGTCGGTCCTTTTCGTTCAACAGCTTTGAACTACGCAAGCGTGAGAAGTACTTCGCGTTTAGTTGATTTATTTCATACTAACCAATAGAAGTAGTTTTCTAAGTTTCTATCTACCACGTAAATCAATTTAGCCTCTGACTATTCGCGCCTTTACTTATAAATTTAAATTTAATCTCTGACATATTTAAACAAAAGCAAGAAACGGATAGATATGATGAATATCTAAAATACTGGACTGGTTGAAATAATGCCATTACCAATAAAAATAATATATTATAGGTTGTTAATATTTAGAGTTTAAAATAGTGCGCGGGCAGGTGACAGCGTTCAGCGAGGAAGTTGACGAATCAGATCGTTTTATTTGGCTCGTGCGCACGAAAATCCTGTTGAACCAAAAGGATAGACTTATGCAAGATTGGTATTCCTATTCCTTTTCTTCGGCTTCACTTTCACTCATTGTGTAATACAGTACTAGCAATATAGTCTTATAATATATTTGGGCACAAGAAACAGGTACAAAATGCTATTAACAGTTAACAGTTTAGTATGAAAGAAGAAAAAAATCAATA